TAGTAGCGTCCTTGCTCCTAGTAGCGATGCCCTTTGCTCCTAGTAGCTTCTTCTTACTAGTAGTATGGCCAGGAGCCCCTAGTAGCGTCTTGCTCCTAGTAGCGATGCCCTTTGCTCCTAGTAGATCATGTTTACACCAACGACACTGATAGGATTGGTGGCTCCCAAGCAGTCTCAACTGGCCTCTGGATCAACGCTGTGGCCGAGCCAGGACCAGCCTGGCACTCCGCAATTGGAGGGTTTTGGATCACTCTTTCCCAGTCTAATCTGTGGCAAAACCTGCCAGAAGTTCTTGCTTCAACAGTAATGGAACGTAAACAAGTACGTACATCGATTGTGGGTCCACAATTTGGTGGCAATCGATTTCTGGCCCTTGACTTGAAAGGACCAGTGACTAGTGTGACTAGTGAATGATCAAGGGCCGCTGCGAAAAGACTACTGTGGGTGTATCGGGTATTGCTTTTGTCTGATCACACCCTTCTCGGCCAGTAAACTCGATAACCTATGAACCTCAATAAAAGTGATGTCTGATTTCTGTAGCGCATGATGTAGGCCATGTGGACCGTGCAAGCACTGTCATGGAGCACTCCCTAATTATAGTGGATTGAGAGTAGATTGCACAATCCACCAAGAATGACCTCTCTCTTTATATATACATACATGTATATATATATACATTATACAGTACATATATATATATATATATATGGATCCCCGTCTCAAAAACATCTTGAGGTTTGCTCCATCTGCTCTGAAACCACTGCATGCTTGTTTCCCTTGTGTTTCGTGGCCCGCCCCTGCCGAGAACACTTCTTGCCTGCGAAGCTCGCCTCAACGGTGAGTTCCATTGCTTTTGGGAGAAGCACTGACGGCGAGGTCACAACGATGGTGAAGTCACAACTGGATAAGAGTCAACACACGGGGCATCAACCACAGCAACATCGACAACCAATGGACATAGATATGTTGGAGGCTCTGATGGTTCCAATGCAGGCAGGGTGTCCATCAAATAGGAACCACAAAGTGCTTTTCGCCAGCCAGCTGACCACCCAACTTCCGCATATTGTAACAGTGACTCTACAACTATGACCCAGTTCCAGTGGTTCTCTCATCTACGATTATTAATAGCTTTGCTACCCCACCAGCCCAGTTAGTGAGGAAAGTCTGAAGTCGATCTTTAGGTCACAACCTCTTCCGGCATAGTGAGGTGCCGCAAGCGCGCCACCTGGCACACTGGGGTGCCTAGTGGATTTCCTGGCTCAACCACAGACCGTTGGAACAACCAGGGTTGAAGCATATGATCCTCAGGTGGGAGTATGTTGTATCACCAAATCGCAAATCTCACGAAATGACAACCTCCAAAACTGGTGTTCGGTTGGTTGAACAAACGAAGTGGACAGGCCTGTGAAAACGATCTTGGGAGAACACTCGGGCTGTTCTGCTTCCATATGAGTGCGGGTAGATTGGTTCTTTAATGCTTGTTGGTGTCAGGCAGTCAAAGAGGCTGTCAAAGGCCGTCTGTCAGCCGGTTCATCTTCTTTGCTGCTTGGCTCTTCCGCCCCCCAGCCAGACTTGCTCATGTTGACTGCCGATTAACAAAACCCTCCATATCGAGATGTAAAACCATTCAAGGAGGGGGATTATTTTAAACAACATTATATAAGATAACCGAACACAACATCCAGCTGGAACCTTGGGTGGAGAGATGACACAAAGTGTCATTGGTTGGGCTGTTTTCTCTTCATCCACGTTGTATTCTTCATTCATGAGCTCTGCCAGAGAAGAACCATCGAATTCACCATGTTGGTCGGCTGAGCCGATCTAAGACCTACAAGTGGAACCCGATCCGGGACGCCGACGCCGATCTTTGTCAAGCACGCAGTGTGCTGTCTGTCAAGAGTCATTCGTCCGGTTCTGTCGAGTTCACTCAATACACATACCGTGGTCTTCTTCACCTGGTGCTAAAGATGTCAGATTCTACTGATTGATCACTTGGTGATCAAAACACATCAAAAACAACAGCACTCAAGGAGATTCTACTACAGACTCCACCTCTCTGCAGGATGATCATATTGGCTGTGGGTTGACCTACCTGGTGTCGGTCGAACTCGCAGCTTACATGGTGGACTGTTCGGGCTCCAGGTGGCTCACAACCCACAGCCATCTGTTCCCAACGACGTCGTCACTCGACGCAAGAGATTCAAGGCAGGCCAGCCAGCCGCTCTTGAGCCAGCCCCAAAGATCAAACCCGATTCGTTCACTTTTACAATGGTCCGGTTGTGATTCACCACGTTGCAAAGGTATCTTAAATCAATCCAAGGTCTTGTTGCATGTCTTGGAACCGTCTGAGTTGGAAAAGTTTCGATGCCTTGGATCGATGCGACCCATATTAATATATCTTCAATATGGCCAACGACATCCACCTCTGTACTACACTGCATACCTGCACCCACCCCAAAACCAAGAAACACAATGAACAGTTAACACATATTATATTACAATATTTTGTATGTCATGTCTCTCTCTCTCTCTGTGGAATGGAACTGGAACAGCACAATGGAGGTGAAGGTGGTACCTTCCGATGCAACTCACTGATCTCGCCTCGGGCTGCTGCTCTTGTTCAGGCTCATCATCCAACTCTTCCTGGATGCCACCAAGTTTTCTGGGTTTCTGCTGGTGGACAAACATCCTTCATCCTCGCGGGATCCCAGGGTCGTGCTCCCAACCAAGGTATTCCCCCACGATGAACCTCCAGGTTTGCGGGGTTTGGGGGGCAAGCAAAGATCAGCTGATTTCGGGAACAAGTGGAACAAGTGACAAAGGAAGCAGGGAAGGAACATCGGTTGATGGACTGTCCATCCTGGCGAATCACCCCTGTTTTCGGCGCAGTGGACCCACTATCCCGATTGGTAAGGGAAGCAATCCAGCACCACGTGAAGTGAACTAAAGTTGATGGTCCCATGAGCTGATCTTTTATTTTTAATTTGTGGGAAAGGCACTTTCTGCGGTGGAATCGGCCAGGATTGGCCGCTAGAGCAAGTCAAAACCTCGTCTAAGGCTCTATCTTGTTATTCTGTGGTGGTCACTACCTTCAAAGAGCTCAGAAAAAAAATAAAGATCATGCTCAAACTACGATCCAGACGTTTGCCCATGCAGGTTTGACCGTTCCCATCATCTCTTGTTACGCTCATCCTCGGAGGCGTCACATCCCAAGAGCTCTTCCAGCCACTTCAGTAGGGCAAAAGCAATCTCGTCAGCCGACACGACCGTGTCGTTCTCTTCCTGTGGAGAAGCAAATCATCGACAGAACGGCTCCTGAAAACAAACAGCTGATCTGACAGGTGTTTCTGGCCTTCTCGGATTGGTCAGCGTGTCATTTCTATGCTTGATCAGGGAGTAGGACCAGTAGCAGTTAGTAGCATTGCTACTTCTGAAATTCCTCTTAAGCTCAACCTCTTATTGAAAAGGACTGGTTAAGCGGGACAGCGCTCAGTTTGATACCTGACAGTCAAGGTCTTGAACATGTAATCAGGGTATTTTATGGTATTTTTAAGGCCCCATGCTACCTGTCCTCCTCAAAATAGGTCAAGTAGGTGTTGACAAATGTAGTGTGGAATCTTTCAGGTATCAGTCAATTACACTATTGGTTGCTCTCTGTTTATCAGTGGCCCTTGTTACTCAATCAAATATGTGCACAAAGTACCGTATCTTCCTGTATATGTCGCTTTGTCAGAAACAGGTTGGGGGGATTCAACAAAGGCCATGAAACCATAGGAACGTTGTGGAGCAAAGTTCCACTTGTGGAGCAAAGCTCCTAAGTGGGAGGTGGGCTAGACCACGCAATTGAAGATCAAGTCGACTAAACTCATGACTCATCCCAGGGCTCCACACGCATGGGGAAGAGAAAACATTTGGGTGGTGATACAAAGGCCAAGAATGGCTACGATCTAGACCAAGTAGCGCGCCTCAACGGCCTTGCAAGATATGGTGTGTGAGACGGCAGCTGTGCTGAAAGATTTCAACTACAAGTGTCTGGCAAGTCCAATAGCTTGCTCGCCCAATACTCTGCCACAACCTGCGGCCAACAGGACCCAGGGTGCTCCACCCAGGCAAGACCCAAAGCCTCACGGCTCCTTCCCGCCAGAAACTGTCCAATTCATGTGTGCGAGTTAACCAGAAAGCCAACTATACCCCTGGAACACTAGGTCTAGGGTTGAATATAATAAATTTACAATAGGTGGTATGGATGGGCAGCCCTGACATGACAACTCAGTCTCCGAGTGCGGAGGAACAAAACATGTAAACCATCAATTGCAGCACCCAATGCTCCATTTCTAGCCAATGGATGAAGGTACAGGCATATATAAATACAGTACTAGCTGAGGCCATCAGCAGTTGAACAGAGATCCGACCAATCTCTCGGCAACATACACCGTCAAACAAATACTGAAGTACTGTACAAAGCCTAGAAACAATCCAGTTCTGTTGTTAAAGGGCTTCGTCGGTCCATGGATATCCAGGGTGAACATCGTCACTTCCCACCCAGATTGCTTCACCGAGAAAAACAATTCGCTTTTCTGCTGGATTTATGTACTATATGGACTAGACATGACTAGACTAACTACTGTATAACTATATATATATGCATAGTACTACTAATTATACATAGTGTAGAAGCTAACAGCAACACAGTGTGCGTAATTGTGCGTAAAGCACAATATGTTTGCTGCTGAAGCCCAGAGACCGACTGCATCATTATAATCACCACAAAAGTCGAAGAAACTAACACATCCTTCTTGTTCAAAGGGTCTTCCCTCACTAAAACCCTCAGAATTGGATAACACAAACTGAAAAGTCTTCAGTACCAACATGTACCAACAAAATAACATGCTTCAGTACCCACCTCCCGCGCAAGTCCGCGCAAGTCTGCAGAAAAGCGCTGTGCCTCTGTCTGCGCCGCCTGTTGCAGCCGGCCATAGAGTTGTCGCAGCTGTCCCACTCGTGCGCCCGAGCCGCGGGGTCCCAGCTGGGGCAGCAGGTCGCGGAAGTGGCGAAGGCTGGCGATGACCTGTCCATTTTGGAGATCTAAAGACCTGATCATGTGGGTTGACTTTCGTATAAAGATCTGAACTCATTGGCAAAAGGTGAGAAGAACGCATACTTTGGAGTTCTATGTCAAACAGCAGTATATGTAGCTTACATACGTACTTGTTGCATCTTTTTGCTAAGTCCTACCTACCGGAACTCTTGGGAAACCGATGTTCTCCCTGTAACCTGGAAGGATTGAACACCTGAGTACAAGGTATGTAACTTGTACAAGGCCTCAGGCGCAACCTCAGTGATGAATGATGATATCTATTGGAGTGAGGGTGTATGCGATTCTTTGATACCTACAGTAGTTCTCAGATGTCCTCAGGGTGCAATTGCTTCTAGACTCCTGCAGGACGAAAGCGGCTAGAACAGCAACTGAGCTAGTAGATACTACTAGTACCTGGCAAGTCTGGCAAGTGGCTAATGTGGAACTTATAAATATATATATTGTATATATTATATATATATACATATATCAACAATTGTTGTTTGTTCAACCTGTGCGTCTCACAAGAAAAGACAGAACTCGGGTGCCCAATCATCGTGACCGAAACAACTAAGTCTCATCGTGACCCACTTTCGAGTCACGGGTGCCGGAGGGGAAGACGGTGGCCACAAGAGGTGGCACCCGGTGGCCTTGTTTCCAGGTGGGCCTTGTATCCCCAGCCCAACCTTGCCCACAAAGAACGGTTGTTCAGGACTGTAATCCCGAATGGTGGGGCACTCAATTGCCGGAATATTCAAAAACAGGAAACAGCTGCTGCAAACAACAAAAACAAAAAAAACACCCACCAGCCTGAAACGCTTGGACCAAAGTAGTGGGCCCAACCACGGGTCAACTCTTCAGAGGCTGTGACTAAAGTCATACACCATAAGGTCATAAAACACCTCCGAAAGACATAATGCTCAAAATCACCTTCCAAAAAGTGAGTCGAATCATGTGTGATCCATGGTGTCTATCAATCACATATGGACACCCCCAAAGAGACTCTCCATCAAAAAAAACAAACTTATCAACAACCCTCATCTCAGCCAACCCAGCTGCCGTCTTGATCGTTGCCTGGAGGATCTCGTCCTCGAAACCAGTGTTGTTGAAGACACCAGCACTTTGCAGGATCGCCTCCCGACGACGGGCCCGACGCGGACATGACGCATGGGCCGTTGCGAGGTCCGGTGGCAACGGCCCATGCGACGGCCATGGCGACGTTCGGTGCTCCCAAGTACAAGATCACTCAGGGTTGGACGGCCTAGAGGTAAACCCTAGAACAAGGGCCAGAGGAGGCCAAAGAAAATCAACCTTGAAAGGTTTCAACTGCGTCTGCAAGTTCGCATGACCCCACCCAAGCATCCTATCGGAAGACGCATTAAATTGCATGAACACGCGCGGCTGTCTATCAAGCATTTACAAACTACCCGTCTATAATTGGCATATATAATGTGGCTTTGGGTAACTATCCTAGAACTCCTTCCAAGACTACTACAAAAAAGGTCGGCCTGGCCTGGCGTTGTAGCCTCAACCCTTGGTCAAACCATGGTTCTTGAGGAAACACCGTTACACTCTGACTCACTAACATAGAAGTGGAACACCCCTTGGACCCTTGTTGCTAGATTTGCTAGAGGAAAGTGTCTTCCAAGGGACCATGCCATCCACTTCCAGGTGAGTGATTCAAAGGGCCAATCCTCCGAACGGGACTCAAACCGGCCCCGAAAGGGCAACAAACCGGACCTCCATCCCTCGCCAAAAGAGCGTGAAGTTCACGTCGTGTTGCTCGTGGCGCGCAGCACCAAAGTGGCGTTGTAAGATCTGATCCACACCGCTGTCGACTCCACTTCCTGAGGGTGGTATGACGGTCAGGCTGAGGTTGGCGAAGGCCGACCATGTTCACGGTCCATCAATTTGTTTAGAACCATATTTATATAACCGCCTGACGATATAGAAAAAAATAGAAAAAACATCTCCAAACCTTCCGAACATCCCAGCAGCGTTCAAGAGCACCAAAGAAGCATCAAGAATCCCTCACCCAGCTCGCCTTCCTTCCCAACGGTCGCACGTCTCACCGCGGACGCGAAGGACGTGACGTCTAAACGCGCCAAGTGTCTCATGGCCTCCTGCCGGGCCATCGGGAGGCCCGCCATGACCTTCCTGGGGAGGGTCAAGGTGACGGGAGACGACTGGTCCGACGGGTCCAACGCCGTGTCAAAACCGGCGGAAGTGGTGAGAAGACGGTAGTGTCACTACCAACCCATGTAGTCTTAGTCTTGCGTATACCTAGCTACAAGTGACTCCCTGCAGGCAGTGTTTGATTCGGCCAGGGCTATTCATTGCTGCCACGCAGTGTCGATGACTTTCTGATCAAATCTGCCCAAGTCCCCATCCATTCCTGAGCCCAGGTCATCGGTCGTCATCGATTGACGGGTCCGTTTTCTCTCAAGGAGTGGTGATAAAATGAAGCCGGGCTTGGCCACTTGTAATGTCAGAGTCCGTCAAAGCTTCATGTTGGGTTTCTGGAGTAGAGAAGACAATCCCAAACAACAACAGCACCATTGACATATTGCTGGGATGGTGTCCCAAGCTCTTGCATGTGATCAGGCCAGGTCCATTACCAAATACCTTCAGTGGAAAGCTTCCTTCCGCTGACCAAACAGCCCCGTGTAGAGGGGTTCTTCTAAATCCGGACCAAACAGCTGGTCCCAAATGTCCGTCCGTGACGGTGAAAACCGTGTGGACGGAGGAGTTCCTCCTGCCGCCACCCGGACGTCGCGGACGGACGGTCCATCCTCTCCCGCCTCAAGGTCTCCCATTGCAGGACCGACTCCAGGGCGCCCTGTGACTTGACGCCTTGGACAGAGGTGCTGGTCTAGCTCTAGGAGTCACGGACAGCAGGTGGCAGTGCAGCAGGCACCCAGGTGTCAAGCAGGTGGCAGTTCAGTTGTCATAGGTTGGACAAAAGGGCCTGAATGAAGAATGTCTTCGGCAGTCCTTGGAAGAACTTTGAGCCTAATAATGATTGCTGTTCCATGCTGTTCCTCTGCAATTGGTCTATGCCAGCAATTTGGAGAGGTATGTATCATAGACAACGATCCGATGGACAACGCGGAAACATTGTCATTCTTGCTATCGCAAGAATGTTGGTCCCCCCCACAGGATCAATCTTGGACTCGCTGTTGAGGACTCGCTAAAGACAAAGCACTCCAACTCACTGGAAGTGGAAACCACCTGTTTGCAAGAAAACATGGTGTCCTGAGCGGTCGAAAGGTCGTGCCATGGCAGTGAATCGGAGTGTTACAATCAAGATTCGATCCACTCTGACCAGCCTGGGAAGATATGGGACATTCAGATCTTCGCACTGAGGCACTGGTTTGTCTAGGTATGTTCTTCTCTTGATCCCGCCACCAATGGCAAAAGTGCGTGTAGTATCCAAACACAACACCAAACATCACGACCCTCCCGAGTGACTATACAAGTAGACAGTAGACAGCACACAGCACACACATCCATGACCATGTTTGATGGGCATCATTTCGCCCACCTCTCGGGTAGTGTGCCGTCTCCTCTGAATTACATTGAAATCACTGTAACAGGACCTTTTGTATAAGGTCATTAAGACCGTTAAGCGAAACATGTTGCCTTCCATTCCAGGATGTTACAAAAAGCCATGTTAACCTGAGCCCCAAACATGCACTGCAAGTACTGAGGAGAAAACTCTTGCAGCAAATACCCACGTGACTGTTGCTCAAGCAAGGAGGACGAACCTTGTTAAGTCATCATTGTCCATTGACATGGGGTGGGTCGTGGTAAATAAGAAGTGCTTCGGACAAACGCCCTCTCCACTTGAGCAATAACTTCAGGTTTCAGAACCTTGGAGAGTCAACCACAGTCAATTACATGCCCACCGCTATTCTTTTTGCAGTCTTTAAGTAACAAATCTCTGATGTATCTCTGATGTATGCTTACTGAGCCGATGGATTTACATACTGAACCGGACACCTCTGAAATGTTCCACTCATTTCCACATTTGTTCGGTCGTATTTGCATTGGATGGGATCAATTGGGCTTCTTTTGGCACCTGAGGTTTGCGAAGGTTTGCGTTCATCAGCAGTACCACTTCCTTGAAGGATGCAGAGCCCGCACAAAAATCGAAGCCCCAACTAGTAGTACTGTAACAGGCACGTCTGTTTTTTTGAAATTGATGCTATCTACTTGGCGACATCCAACAGGTTGCTGGATGTTATCGTACCTCCAACATCCCCGACGCTCTTCCATGGCCAAGAAACACATGTGCCAAAGTTGCAACAAGGCTTCGGTGGAGTTGGACTGCATCACGTGCCACTTTGGGCACGTTCGGCTGCATTCCCATCTGCAGTGGATCCCAACAGAAACACAGTTCAATGGCCACCAAGTTCCTGCCCTTTTTCCGACTTATATAGACCCCCTGTCATAGAAGTTTGTCGATCCCCAATGTCTTGGACACCGTGCAATCCTCTCTATTTGGAGTGGTTCTGAAAACCGTGCCAACGATTCATCGAGCCTTGGAAGTTTGGTGAGCACAACGGAACGCAAGTGTCGTTGCGTTTTCTACGGGGTGGACAGTCGGGACGCGGCACCGTGTCGCCCTGTTGAGAATATGTTTCACAACAAGCACAACAGCACAGTGTCGCTCAAATAGCACCTCCAAGCCTTGCAGTATCCTCCAGCTGATGCATTCTTTGGTGTTGAAACCTCTGAAGAACTTCCCATGCCGAAGAAGAATGGACTTGCTTCTTGCGGAGCCGCTGACAGGCACCGCTTGTGGGGGTTGATATATGCAGTGCTCGTGAAGCAATTCACCATCCACCCGGCTCTTGTAAGAGCCAACCTGAAACTCTTTGCATCCTGGAACCAAAGCACGTGCACGAAACACTGTCCAACTGTCCAACGAGGAAACTGCTTTTCAAACCATATACGAGGACACATACTATATACGAGGTGTTTCACTTCCTGGAAAAGCCCATGTTCGACATCTGCAGACTGTAATCTCCGAATGAGGCACTCGATCCTGTGTGCTTTGATCCAAGCGAAAAAAAGACAGCAAGCGGTCGGTGATGGAATCGATCAGCGATGACCGAAACCCAACAGGTCCAAGAACCCAATGGGATCAGGAAAAAAACACTGGTTTGATCACAAAGTCAATGTGTTGATGCAGGTTGGACCACAAATATTGAACCGCCCGGTGTGCGGGAGACGTTTGCTCAGTTCTTGTTCTAGTTCAAGATGGTCAGCACTGGCCCAGCAAAGTTCAACCCCATTATACTGTAAATACAAAACCATACAAACCACATAGAGCCCATCACAATAAGGTCTTGAGACCGTGTCGGGAGCATCTCATCTGAAATGTCCAAAGGCTTAAAAACCGTGGAAGACAAAACACACAATGAGGTCTTCTCTGAACATACTTGCAGTACTCTCGTGACGCCTCTAATTGCCACAATGAGCATTGTTATAAAGTGTGTAAACAAGTCGATCTTCGGTTGAGACAGTTCTGATTCTTGTGTAAATAAGACACTTGTCATGTTCTTTTTTATCTTTCTTTGCTTAATGTTGTTGTATGTTGTATGAAGCATCAATCTTGGCCTCTCTTATACAAGTACGTTGCTACCACATGTTGCAACAACACCTCTTGCAAGGTATGTCCCTGATTGGTTGTTACTGGGTGCGTCTATATAAAACAAGAGCCACACTTACCACACTTGCTTCTTTTTGTGAGATGATGTTCAACTATTTAATAATGACTTGCTATACCTCTGAACCTGGTTGTGAAAGGACTGCTGTGGTGTGTTTGGCAATGTTTGGCCACTCCGTCCGTTGCCCACAAGAAGAACCTTGGTCAGGGGTTGCTCATTGAAGCTCAACACCCAAATCAACAAGTGGAGTCAACCTCCTTGCTGGCACTCCTTTTTGCAGTTGAGACATGAAAATCGGCCTTCTCCACACCCACTTCAGACTCTACTCTCGGTCTATGCGATCCGCAGCCTCTGCTCACCTCCGCGAAGGGCGGTCGTCTTGGGGTGGCGAACTCTCGTGGCTGGCGAATCGTCGAATCCGTTTTCGGTGGACGAGTGGGGTGACTTTTGAGCATCTATACTTAAGACATCTTTCTTTTGTTCCTAGTAGCTTCTTGTTACTACTAGTTTACTAGTAAGGCACTTGTTACTAGTAGCGATGCACTTGTTCCTAGTAGCTTCTTGTTACTATACTTCTGTCGTTCCTGTTTCCAGCTGGAGATATGTCATGAGTATTCATGAGTCATTAACATTTCATCGGACGAAAAGGAAGCTTCTGCGGTATTTTGACGGACACTTGCTATTGCACATAATTGTCCTGTCATATATTGATGATTAATTATTGATGGATTGGGTACGGAGAGCTGGATATTCCTAGACAAAGAATGAACAAGGGTACAACCTCGTTCGCGCCGGTTCGGATATAGACGAATGGATCCATTGACCCCAAATACTGTTCGTCATAGTTCGACAATGGATATAGAGGTCAACTGTCCAACTCCATTGAGTCTTTGGTTGCTGTGGGTCTTGTACTCTGCTGACCATGCCGCTGGACATCACCCAGGCGAACCGAGAGATATGTCCCAAGCCTAGGACATCGGTGGTTTTCGTAAACCTTCCGATTCACAGACTCGGACGACCACGGACGACGACAAATCTGCTCGTTTCTCCTACAGAGGCCTGGTAATCTCACATGTGAGACAACCAAACGGTACAACACCAGGCCATCGCACCGATCGGTGTGACACCAGGCCTCCGTTTCCTCGGTCCCTCTTGCTTCTGTTCCTGCTGCTTCTTGCGCTGTGCCCGCTGGGCGTACTGGGCCTTCTGCTTTCGGGTCATCACCAGGCCCTGCCGCTGCGACCGGCTTCGCCGTCAGCGACCCGCGCGTTGCGCGGTGGAGCTTTGACACCTATTCAGTTCACATCCTGAACCGGATTCAAAGAGTATGTGGACGCTAGGGATGTGAACTGGTGAAACCCATCGGATTCTCATCTTTAAACCCACCCAGTTCAAAGGGTATGTGGATCTGGAGAGGTTGCGCATATAACCCTTTGGTCCTAAGATTTCAAGTCGATGATCCTGGTTTCCTTCATCTGAATTCACTTTCAAGTTATCATAGGTACCTGGCAGCTGAAAGAACTCGAGCTGCTGTGTGCTTCCCAAATCATCGAACATCGATCTCGATGTTTCCACGGCCTTGCTGCCTTGGGTCGTCACTGTTCTAAGAACAAACCAAACACAGAAGAAAACACTGATGGTCACTTGAGGTTCCAGGTGTTCAGACCTCGGGCTACCATTTGAAAAGGTCGCATTCGCATGTGGTGTTTTCTGTTCAAACGCATGTGGGGATGCCCTGCGTCGCCCACTTCACCGGCCCCGATGAGTTTAGTATAACTTGTTGAATGTCCTGCTGGATCCTGTCGTGTCTTAGAACAACTCCCTTAAACATGTAAGCTTGACTTGACTACGTATTCATTTTTTGGCAATAGTGCCATCTGATTAATCTTGTGAGTCCCGAACCGGTGCAATGGACAATGAACACTCCTGCGCAAAGGTGCCATTTGGCTTTGCGTGGTGTAAACCCTCCACGGCATCCATTGGGAGTGCTCAAACAAGGGTAAAGGATCTGGGAAAGTGATGGACACACAAGTGAGGTCAGTTAACTTAACATGGAATTCGACTGGCCTTTGTCAGGAAAGGTATCCATACCGTGGTCCATGGTGCATCCTCCCTCTCTCAATCACTGTGTTTCTGACTCTTCCACTGTCTTCCACTGCCTGTTGATTTCGTCAGAATCAAGCCCTGCTCAACACGGCTTTTGCAGCTGTTGGTTTAGTCAAGCAAAGCACCCTTACAAACGGAACCACACTTCCCAGTGAACATTATGTACTGTAAGTACGTCCTGCACATGATCCCTGTAACCCGGGATGCGCCAAACTTCCCTTCAATACAATACATATACTTTAAAGTGTTTCTCAGATCTGTATCAACCAGTGATCAACCAAGAACATCACAGCATCCTGGCTCCTTTCGCAGGTCAAACCCTGCTGTAAAGTATGCAGCACCTGCACCCTATTTTTGATCCTGCTCCCGAGCTCACCAGCATAATGGCTGTTGCCGAGATGGTCATCCTCTAATGATATGTATATATATATATTATGTAACATTATATAACATGTAACGACATATAAATACTGTATATATATAATTACATTGAACACAGGTCTTGAGAAGAAAAAAACACCTTTTGTACATCAAAAATACAAAAATAAAGAGCTCTATAGAATAGAGTCGGAGGCTACCAGAAAGTCCATCCTCCATTTGTCCATCTGGACGGTCCAACCCCTTTTTTCCTCCGAGGCCTTGTAATTCATGAACTCAATATCCACTTCTTCGAGATTTTGCTCCCTCACCGAGCACCGATGCACGATGCGACCGGAGGACACGACCGACATGGACGAACAAAAGAACAAGACATCGCCCATGGACTGACGACGCCTTGGTTTGGCTCATGCCTGGATTGCCCTTGTTGAGGAACATCGTGGTACACAGCGGATGGGTATTGAATAGTTTTGAAATTGACACAATGCCTGTCATCTCCCTGTCATCTGCTTAAGTCATTCTTTACGAGGTCGCTGACTTTTGGAGCTCAACGTTTTGTAGAAACCAACACAGTCACTTGGCGATGTTTCGCACATACTTGCCTGAAAGCTGTACCACAAAACCCACAAAGAACAAGAGTTCGAAGGAACATGAAGCCTCGAGATTATTCAGGGTGCCTGGATGGTTCGCCAGCACCCACAGCCAACTCATTCGCGTATCCAGTATCCAGTTGTATTTAACATCGGGGTTCTTATATAATGCGCACATAGGATTAAGTAACCACCCGCTATTATTCAATCCCAACTCGACCCCCCCCCAATGCTAAACTAATTTAAAACCTAGATTTCCACCTTGGCATCCCCCTAATATTTTTTCCTGTGCAAAAACCTCCCCCTATTAACCAGCTGCCCCCACCCAAAAAACATGGTTTACTATTTTTTTATTACATATTTTATATTATCTTCTTTTAGCTAGTCTCCAATATCTTCTGGTCCATGGTGAAACTGATCTTCTGATCCACCCTTGTCTCATGCCATCTCTTTGAGAGATAGCATTCTGACTCACCCTTTTCCCATGCTGATCTTGTCATCCATCATCATCATCATCATCATCAGGTCGTCACCTCTATTAGGGGGATGTCCTCCTCAAATACCTCAAATCTCAATCCTTGTTGACCTTGAAGGAAGGGGCGTTTATTAATCCTACGTTGCCATTAAGTTCTTATAGTTGCCCTGTTCATTGCGT